CGAACCATCGTTTGCCGAAGAGAGTGCTGTTTCCCATGCCCAACTCAGAGTGTCGTAAACAAAGAGGTGGCCAATCCTCGATTTAGCAGAGGAGTATGCAGGAAATCACGAAATACTTGGGTGCTGTCGGTGCTACTCGCCTTCTAGGACGGGGACCGCGTGATCCTCCTGGTTGGGGACACTAAAAGATATGGCTGCCAACCGATGTCAGTGGTGTTACTGTTCTCAGTTCCTATCCAGATTGCCTGAGTTAATGTCTGGAGGTGTAGGCACCTCATAATGGTTGTGGTAAGCTAGCACTAAGTCCCTTCCGGTCCACCTTTACCCTTTTCTTTACAATAAAGCTTTCAAATAAATCATGGTTGTATGACAGTGAAGCATCGGTGTTGAACACTGATGTCGTGCTGTCGATGATGATGATGACGTTCTCCTCTTAGGTGGCAGCCGGTGGCCAAGATAGGTTTTGTTCGGAGTATTCTGCCCACTGGTCGAGGTTTTCTTTATTCAATATGGCCGCTCCATTTTCAGCCTTGATGGTTTCGCCCATCCATTACCTTGACTTTCTGTGTCCACGGAACTTCGCGGTTGGCTCGCGCGCTCACTTTCCCTTGGTGTTTGATAATTCGTCGGGTCAACTTACGTTTATGTTGTTACTTGCCGAACGGTCATGCAACTCTCTGTCCAGGGCTTCCCAATTTTCGTTGTGATGAAACGTATTTTGAAGTGGGCCATCCTGGATCACTTTACTACCAGTTCAACACGGATTTCTCCCAAACCGTTCTTAAGTGACGAAAATGCTTGTATTTGTGGGTCGCTTAAACCAAGCCAAAGATGAGGGACTCTTGTCGAATGCCATATTTTCCGACTTCTCAAAAGCATTTGATCGAGACCCACACGTCCCGCTGTTCTACAAAATTGAGTCTTACGGGATTCAACGGAAAAGTATACAATAGATTAAGGCGTTCCCACAAGACAGAACATCCCGAGGTAAAGTAGGCTCAACCTACACTTACTTAGCGCTGGTTTTCATTGGAATTCTTCAAGGCCACGCTTTGGGATCACTTTGTCTCCGATATGCATCATCGACCTTCCAGATGTTCCTGCAGGCCAACGTGGACGACCCGAAATCTTGGAGTTTCAATGTCAGTGCCCTCCAAATGGATGTAGACGCCGTAACAAAGCGTTTGTTGGACTGGCACCTTCCTCTGAACGATGAAAAGTGCATCCATATGTGACAAGGAGGAGACTCAGAGAACAATTCTTCGTGCATGGTGGGGATGGACCAGAAGACACCACAAGGACAGATGCCAAAATGGATTTGCGAATTTGGATCTCTTCAAACATGTCCTTCCCACTGCACCATGGGAAATCGGCCCAAAAGGCATGAGCCATTTCAAGAGTGATTCGGCGCAACTTCTCCCGTACCATTCGCATAGACTTCCAAACATTCTATGGCGCCTGCGTCAGACTGATTCTTGAATATGTCAACCAAGCTGTCTTCTCCGTACGCAAGAAGGACGTAACCCTCGTTGGGCGTGTCTAGCTAATTGTTTCGGAAAAGGTTGTCAGTCTTGAATCTGTGGACTATAAAACGCGCGTCCCGTGGTGCATGTCCTCTTTCCCCTGGAATATCATCGCTTACTAGGAGGCGTAATTCTTACTCATGCCCTGTTTGAACGCTGTTTGGCCAACAGGTATTTCACCGCTGACCCAGCAAACACAAGTCGGGGACATGATAAGAAGATTTTCAAGCTCAGGACGCACATTTTCATTGAGCAAAAAATTTTCTCGTTTCGGGTAGTTGCTGTGTGGAATAACCTTCCTCCGACAGGTGTCGACGCTCCATATAGAACCCAGTTCAAAACACTATAAGACACTTTCTTTCCGCGAATCCTCGCGCTGGTAAGCTTATTGACCCGCGCTGAGAACATAAAGAACAAAGATACACCCTTTTTTCGCTTGTACCTTTCAGGTAAACGGCAGCCACCGAACGACAAGGGCAAAACCGAATCGGGCAACTTGGGCGAATGCCTCGATACTGTGCATCAATCCGCGCTCCGCACACTATGGTAAATCAGAAGGCACGGTAACTTCAGACAGCCCTTTATGTAGACAAAGGAAGACCATTACAACTGTATTTATAGGGTACTCACAAGATGTTCCACAAGGTCGTGTTAGAATCTTCGCGAGGGGGCGAGGCACATCAAGCTAAAGATGCTCCGTCCAGAGTGGCTGGCATCCTGACCAATCAGAGCTCGTCTTCGTTTGGTCTGTAGCCCACACGTGCACATCCGTCCAATTGGTGGGATGCTCGGTTATTATGGACGACTGACCTTCGGAGAATTCGGGACCCCCTGGGATATTTCTCTGAGATTAAAGTAGCGCAACTGTTCTATCTGATATCAGTGCGTGAGTGCGCTTGCTAGTGCCGTGCCGCAAGCAAATGTCCCATCACTACACAAACGGGTGTCGATCCTGTCACAATATAAATTCGCATCCGATGGTGGAGCATTTGGAAGAGACGCCTAAAGACCATTATGATAAATTCATCTAATATCCGGATCTATCAGTCTCTCAGTTGCGAGGCGATTTTTCCGAATCTTACGCGGTCCTGGAAAACTAAGGGATAAAGTGCGTGGTCAGAGTCAACAAATGTGTTCCAAAACGACTGACAGTCAGTTATTGATCCGTGTCATCGGAAAACGATGGCCATGTGATCAATTTGGGTTCGTAGCCGGTACGCCGTTTGAGGACACCATGTTGCCAGACGACTTCGATTATTTCGGAAGTTAATACTGCATAAAACAACCTGTGGTTTGGCACACAGGCAGAGTAATTGTTCACCATTGTCCTTACGTTCCGAGTGGAATCCATGTCAAACACCTAACTAAGTCTCAGATGTGCTAAGCCTGTCCACATGGGCATTCAGATCTCGGGCAACCACAGCGATATCTGAGCTTTTATCGCTCCAAAACAGGACTATAGTCGGTTGGAGCGCTAGTAACCACGAAAAAAAATACGTCGACCAACTTCTTGCATGTGTGACTCCTTCCAGGACATCACCAGACGAACCACACGGAGTCGGCTATTACCGGGTATCCAGTCAAGCAAGGATCCTTCCGCCAGGTGACGGAGGGTGATGTTGACTTCCGCACACCCTGCCATGGCACCCTCTGGATCGCCAGAGGTGCGCGGCCGGAAGCGAGTGGATGGGGTGGTTAGCTCAACCACTGTGCTTGTATCTCGAATTCTTGTTTCTGATACACAGCACACCAATCTCAAGCGGGTCCATGGTGAGAGCAAGAAAAGTGTATCCTGTTTGCTTCAGAGTGCGGCCATTGCAGATGGCCAGATAGACTGGGTGTCCACGCTTGACGGATGATGTCGAGATGCTTGGGGATGTCGGTGCCGGTGATACGCAGATGTTGCTTGCAAAACCGGTGCAGGACGAAGTCATCATTCCTGACTGCTGGGCCTACAGGGAAAATTTATTTATGGGGTGGGGAGAGGGGGGAAGTATGTAAAAGAGATAGAGAGGAGAGCCTGCACTATCGCCTTATGCACACGTCCCATGAGACTCAGGGATACACCGCTTTGCTGCTATTGATGTCTCAAGTTAGAAAGTGTAACCTGAGCTCTGCAGGTTCGTTCACTGACGTCATCTTTTACCTTACATCCGGAGCTAACACAATATCCGACACATGTGAAACGCTCCACAATCTCGAGTACTACTTTGATTGTAAGTGGCTTGTTAGGCGACTTCATTTCCAGAAGCATGATCTCACGCTTTGTGGATGTGAAGCGCATGCCAAAGGACGATATTGCTTTCGTTAGTTCATCCGAAAAACCCCACAATTTCGCCCGTCCGTAAACGAAAATAATGTCGTCTGGTTTGCCTAGTTTGTATCTGGATGGAATCTGAACCAACTAGTGACAAGTCTTTGAACTCTTCCCGGAAAGAAGGTGCCACGCCATGGACATGAGGCACAGCGATCGTTTCTTCGATTACACCTGCTACTCTTATCGAAACTACAAGCATACTCCGCCTGTTACTAGTGTTAGTGAGCCTGCGCAAAATGCTTCCTGTGAGCTGACTAAGCAGATGCTCTGTTCCATTCTTATTCAACACTTTTGGCAAACGGGAAAGATACCAGATATTTGCTATTCTCGTAGCTCCTCATTCGTCTACCAAGTGTTTCACTTGATTGTTGTCTGCCTTTTGCCTTCTTTATCCTCAAAGAGTGCAGGAGAAAGATAGATAGACCGGAGGCTTAGTCCCTGTTCAAATGCTTGGTTTTTGTTTTTGATTTCATCTGCTGTAATCGAGTAGTTGACGTCACAATGTGAAGTTTTTGGTACGTTGAACGGTAGGCTCAGCATTCCTGACCAACTAAATGAGTCTTTGAAGTGCGCCACCTACTGAGACAGATGGCGAGACTTGGAATGGACTTTCGAGTCGTCTTTCTCTGCACTGACTTCACTGGCTTGTGGCTTTCATGGTCCAGTGTTGCGGATAGTTTGGAAAAGAAATTGACTATTTACATTCATTGCCGCCTTTTCTATTTCCTAGGCTTTCATTAACCACCACTCATTCCACTCGGTCTTAAGACCACGGGTCAGCAGTCATTTCAGAGGTCTCATGGGATGTTATTGCCGTCCCGGTGAATCCACATTCCTCGCCTTGACCAGGAACATGGATCCCAGTGTAATGCAACTTGAATTGGACCCCGGGCTCCTTTTCGGAATCGCGCAGTCAAACACTAAAATCGTAGCTTTTCGTATTTTGGACCAGTCTTCATTTGGCAGACCGGTTTGTTTCGCGTTCGCAAGTTGTCTGGGCAACTGCTACCGAAGGCCTGAGTCGCCAGTAAATATCATAGCAGTGAATGGTCTTCCTGGCTGTTGGAAGACGAGATGCCACGCGTGTTCAAAAGTGAACAACAGTCTTGGATGCAATATCACTATCGGTAGAAGTTAGTTATCGATGGGAGTAAATCCGGCTACTCGACAGATTGCAGTTTAGAGAATGCCGGCAACGCGATCATGTTTATGTTTGCGATAAATAGGTGGTGATCGATGCACAGTCCGAGGAACCGATAGTCATTGTCTGTTCTGGGAGTGTCTACACCAAGTTGTCTGCTGAAATGACTCTCACGCTTGTCATTTCCTCCCAACTGGACATTGTACTTGCCCGCTGGAAAAGTGGGATCCGTGCGCCCAGCCATCTACAGGAGCCTCAAACTCTCTCTTTGACACCGTCACTGTCACAGATGACGATCAGATTTCGGGTTTAGGCTCGTTTGCGGATTCTGACAAACCCAACTAGCCTGACTGCGAACAATCATTGCAGAGGTTCTTCAGCTTTCGCAGTCAATGCAATGCCCGCACCATTTAGACCTCAGGGAGCTGCTCCTGGATCACCTAATAAGTGGAAAGTAAACCACAGGTAAACAGCTGTTTTGGACGTTGTTCGGTTGCATTACCATAGTTAGGTCCTGTATGCGGGTCGGATCGAGCATGCATTGATTTACAGAGAGGATAGGAGATGAGAAAGGGAGTTATGTCGACCAATGTAACAAAGATTGCGGACATTGAACGCTGCTGCGTTGGACAGCTTCCTTCAAGTCAGTAAGGCATGTTTAAGCCTTATATTTTTGGGTGGGTCGACGTGCCGAGTTGGATTGCCACGGGCGGTAATTGGAGCTGATAAAATAAAGTGACTGACCACTGTTTCTGCGCTGTGCGGAGAATTCTTTCCGATTACGCAGGCGGAGGACGGGGGTTCATTGGGCCTTGGTTCAAGAATCAGGCCCACGCTGGAGTGGAATAAGATGGAGCCCAGCCCTTGGATTCCTACTCAGCAGTCGTCATAGTTTTCTTAGAAGACCCTGCTTGGAGTTACTGGCTGAATGTTTAATCTTGTTTATCCTTGTTTATCCCAAGCGTGCAGAGGTACTGAGTGCACAGATCAGCAGCACAGGACTCTTTTGCTTTAAGGATATTTCGACCATGTTCAATAGTGCGCCCGCGATCTCGGGAAACCATTAGCCTGTCGAAGGAGAAGGTATTCACGTCAGACGTTTTTAACCCATCATTTGTCGAAGGAAGTCAGTACGGCACCAAAGCAGCACTGCATGGAAACTTTGGTCGCCAGGAGGATACCCATTTTCCACTTTTATACTCCTTTACAGTACGACTTTACCCCCACACCGCCTCATATCGCGTGTTGTTCGTAGAATTTCACTTTGGGTTGACTGAAAAATGGAATTCTGTTGCGGAATTCGTGGGACCACTGTGGAACATTTGCTTGGATTTGCCCAACGAATGGGTGGAGGCATCGAATCTCTAGGAAGACTCGTTCGGGAGAAGATCTGTGTCCAGTTATTGTAACTAAGATGCAGATTAGAGTTTTGCTCCCCTGTTCAATGGTCTGCAACCGGTCAGTTGGCATTTCCGAATAAACAACTCAGCAACGAAGGCCTTCTTCCTTTCATTTGGTGCCGTCGCCAGGATAAGGATGAAGATCCCGTGGCCGCAACCCTTTGAGGATGGGGATGTTCGGACCTTCCTGGAGGACTTTGAGGAGGTGGCGGAGGCTGCCGGGCTGGAGACCGACTGGGGTAAGTTGGAAGCGCTGATGACCCTCCTCAAGGGCCGGGCGAAGGCGGCCCTGGATGCGGCCAGACGAGGCCCTCGGAAGATGTACTGGGCCGCCGCGAAGGAAGTCCTTGGGGCGGAGTTCGATACGCCGGCTGACCGCCAGGAGGCTATGAGGCGGTTCAAGACGGCCGGGATGGCACCCGGATCTGACCCGACCGTGTTCTTCGCCGGCCTGCAGCAGTTGTTGGATCGCGCTTTGCCGACGCTGGACCGAGTGTCGCGACACCAGTTGCTGTCGGATCAGTTCGTCGAAGGTGTGCAACCCGCGCTTGGTGCCCAGTTGCGGTTGGCACGAGCAACTGGCCAGATGAGTGTGTAGGAGCTGGTGCGTCTGGTCCGGGAGCTGCCCGAGGAACCACTGGCCACGTTGCGGTCGCCGGAGAACGGGGATGGTTCATCAGTGGAGGAACTTCAGACCAGGGTGGACCAACTCACCGAACAGCTGGCGACCGTGAAGACGGAATCGCGGAGGCACGCTCGAACCAGCCGTTGCTACACGTGTGGCAAGCCTGGCCACTGGAAGAATCAGCGTCCCCATAACCGATCGCTTGTACACAATAAAACTTTAGAGTACTCCTCTTTTCCTGGGTGGGTTGCGATTAGCGTCCTGATGCAAGCTACCGTACAAGACATTGTTGAGTTAGACGGGAAAAAGGAGTTGTTTGATTGATACTGGAGCAGGCGTATCGATGAGGCAAAGAGGGAACCAAACTGAACGCAGACCGTGCGCGCATGCCGTGAGAGCTTTTGGCGGACATCGATTGAAGATTGACGGACTGTCAACGCACTCGATACGCCTAGGTGGCAGGTCCGTGCAGCACGCGTTCCTGATCAGCCCAGACGTAGATCAGACAATTTTGGGAGCTGATTTTCTCAAGGGCACAGATGCCGTGATTGACCTAAAGCAGGGAAGGCTGGTGACAAATTATGGCGCAATCAGGCTTGAAGGTTATCCAGGCACTTTCATGAGGGAGCTGTGTATCCGAAAACTTCCGTCTTGTAATGTAACGTCAATATGGGCCGAACTGTTTACGGGCGATGAGGATCCGTTTGGCTTCTGTCCGCGGATTGAACACGAAATTACTCGATCATCATAACGCTTTCCACCTTATGGACCCCGTCCGTTGCCGCTCCATCTACGGGAAGAGGTCCATAGACAGATTCAGGAGATGTTGAAGAACGGTATAATCGAAGAAGCCAACAGTGCGTACAATTCCCCAGTTTTGCGTGTATGGAAGATGAACGGAAAATACAGATTTCACGCGGATTTCCGGCGCTTGAATGAAATGACCGTAAATCGGGTTGTGGCTGTGCCTTCGGTTGCAGAGGTTTTCGATTCCCTCCAGCACTCCCGATGATTTATTGTGTTCGACTTGCGTTCCGGATATTGGTACCTACCTATCAAGGAGGGGGACCGGGAGAAAACGGCGTTTACGGTTGGGGACACTCAATATCAATTTGGACGAATGCCGTTTGGTTTGTCCGGGGCACCATTCACATTCCGGCGCTTGATGCTTCGTGTAACCAAGGGACTCCAGAATGTTGCCGTGTACGGAGACGATATCGTTGTGTACAGCAATTCGGAACCAGAGCACGTAGTTCACTTGAAGGCTGTGTTGGAGCGGATCCGGGAAGCTGGCCTGCGGATAAATGAAGCCAAGACACAGCTCGCTCGGAGTTCGGTGACACTGCTGGGGCATAAAGTGGGTGAGGGAGAAGTTAGCCCACTGCCCGAAAAATTAGCAAAGATCAAGGATTGTGCTGTTCCCAATTCAAAGCGGTCTCTACGGCAGTTTCTTGGACGAGCAGCATACTACAGCCGGTTCGTTAAGGATTTCAACAAGATCGCTGCGCCACTGTACGATTTGCTCGGTCAAAATCGGAAATTCGAATGGACCGGAGAAGCACATGAAGCTTTTGAGCGTGTCAAAGCGCGGATGTCGGATCAGCAACTGACCCTCAAACTTCCCAGGGTCGGAGAGATGTTCATTGTTGCAACGGACGCCAGTGATCGCGGTATCGGCGCAGTCCTAAAGCAGAGGAATGGAGTTATCGAATATGCCAGTCGCGTCCTGACTAACGCTGAACAGAAGTACTCCACCATTGAGAAGGAATGTTTAGCGATCGTCTGGGCCCTGGATAAGTGGAGACCATATCTGCTTGGGCAAAGGTTTCATGTCGAAACCGATCACAAACCCCTGGAGTGGATCAGGACCACCAGAGATCCTCGCGGGAAGCTCGCACGCTGGGCACTCCGGTTGCAAGAGTACGACTTCACAATCCAGCACGTGCCCGGGAAGGAGAACCACTTGGCTGATTGGCTGTCAAGGCCAGAGGCTGAAGATGAGGTCCCCAAGATCATGATTGGAGCCAATGGCCTCGTCGTCGAACTGGATCCCGGAAAGTTGGTGCAACTCCAACGGCAGGATCCGGTGTTACAAAAGGTTGCAGCCGCCTTGTTGGATGGAAGGAACATTGAGAACGGAGAGGGAGACAAGGAATTAGAAGCGTTCCAGAGTCACTTTGATCGGCTGAGGCTGAATGAAGCTGGCATAATTTCCTGGAACGCCACTGATTCAGATGTTGTGCTGCCCGTGATACCTCGCGTCTTGAGACGGAATCTCATCGTTGAATGCCATGAGATGGCACATACAGGGTGCACCAAGACATACGACCTACTTCGGCAGAGGGCCTACTGGCCCGGGATGAGAAGTGAGGTGATGGATTATGTGGTGTCCTGTAAGCGTTGTCAACTAATGAAAGCGGATACGACAGGGGCAACCCATCCCATGGAACCCATTCCTGTCTCAGAAATCGGCGAGTTGTGGTCAGTTGACGTCATGGGCCCCTTTCCGGTGACAACCAGTGGGAACCAATACATCGTGATGATGACAGAACACCTGTCGCGATGGATTGAGGCGGCAGCCGTGCCGAATCAGCGGGCGACGACGATCAGCGGAGTGGTAATGCATCACATTGTGGCCAACCATGGGGTGCCAAAAATGATCCTAACCGATCAGGGGCCTTGCTTCGAGAGCGAAGAGTTTCGTAATTGCTTGCAGAAGCTGGGTATCAGACGGCTAAGGACGGCACCATACCACCCGCAAACAAATGGCCTGACCGAACGTAATAACCGAACGATCAAGGAGTGGCTTGCGGCCAAAGGAGGTGACTGGGAAATGAACTTGCCAATGGTGTTGTTAGCTCATCGTGCTTCCACGCAGTCAACCACAGGCAAGTCCCCGTTTATGTTAATGTACGGTCGACATCCGCGCCTTCCGGTTGATCAGGAAATTGGGTTGTGGCCGGCAACACGCTTGTCTCCGGAGGAGCTAGAGGAAGAAAGAAAGAGAGCTCGAGAAAATTTGACCGCCGTTCAGGAAAGGACTAGGCAGAAAACGGCAAGTAGAAAGGTCCGAACGTTCCCCATAGGCACGAAGGTCAAGTGGAAGGATCACCAGAATCCTGGAAGGAGTGGACTGGGGTCGCGGAAGCTGGGCAGTCGATGGCAAGGGCCGTTTGTCGTCACCGACCGCCGGGGGAACGTCTATACCATTCAAGATGG